TATAAAGAAGGCTGCTAACTCTGCATATGGGCATACGTGCCGGGAGTTAGGCTAGTGTTTGCTGGGGGGATGTGCAAATGCACAGCGAAGGCCGAGCGATACGCTTGTCCCTCATCGACGTTCGCAGAAAGCACTCTTCTGCTACGAGGAAAGTGAAAGTGAAAGCATGTATGTACGTACGTGTGTGTGTGTGCGTACATAAACGTGTATATTTTTATATATGTATATTTAGATATCTTATGTATATAGGTACATATACCTATGCATATATGTACACACATCTGGGTTTATGTAACTGTTTTTCGTAACTTTTTTCGTAATTATCTGTATATGTATATGCCTGTTTATGCATACTCATTCATGCACTCATTGATTCGTTCATTCATTCCATTGTAGTGTTCCAACTATATTACATGGCGTAGCGTCACCGTCTTAGCGGCCTGGTGATATGAACTGCGAAGTTTCGAGAACTGCCTGCCCAAACCTCTTCTCATGATTTTGCCCGCCTCTGATTCCTCCTGCAAGCGACATGCAAAACAAAATGCTACCTGACGAAACTTTGATTCGACATAGCACAAAACATACTACAACTTCACGCAGCCTAGCGGAGCATGAGACCACATAACACCATATGATACACCACAATGCAAAATCTGCCATAATAGGCTGCATTTTATCTACATCTAGATACAATTTCACATCTACGATCCAACTATACTGAACTTAGAACCCTAGCAAAAATTGTAATTAAAGCTGCTTCTTAGGGAATAATAACAAAAACTATAACCTACACTCCATGACCAGTATCTATACAAATGTCTCGTTCCATGTCTATGTATCTGAAAACATACGTACATGGGTAGTTGTCGAAATTAGGGTCCATTCTTGGTCCCCAATACAGTACGGCACCCTTATGAAAAGAACCCCAAAACTAACCCTGATTTAGAGACCTAACCACATAGCATGTTCCAAGGAGGTGCTCGAAGCCGCGGCTGGCCATCTCGGCCCAGGGGACGTTGTATGCGCCGAGGAGGTGGCCTGAGCAGTTTATGCCAAATGTAAAGGCCTTCACAATTAGAATAGGGTTTTGGGGCGCCTTTTACTATACTAGTATTGAGTATTGGCAATTATTTAGGCCCTATATTATGCCAATGCAACCGAGCACTCCCAGCAGTAGGAGGATGCAGGAGGTGGAAGGGTGCGAGGCCCAGCCCGCTTCTTTCCGTCGCGTACGATCTGCAAGCGCTTCTTTCCGTCGCGTACGATCTGCAAGTCCGCACAAAGCGGGATTGCCCGGCCATTCTTATGATGACTGTAGAAGGCACTCCTTTGATAAGTGCCTGTCAAAACCTCATAGCTAACTGCTAACTAAATATCACCTGTGGCAGCATGGTTGTGCTGCGAGGTGCTGACACACCCGAGCGACAGCACATGCTGTCCAACCACATGACGTGGCGGCACATTTACCAAAACTTGTAGCACTCAAGCGCCAGCACGTGCTGCTCCGTGACACTGCTTGGAAGAGGGGCCTGAAGTGCTCAGCATGTTGGACTAAAGCCTCTTCTCAACCTCCTCTTTTAGCAGTGCTTGGGCCGTGTCTAATAGTTGCTCAACCGTCTTCCTTGAACGTGCTGAGAGCGTGTTCTCAAACTCCAAGCGGCGGATGCTCTCGGCCAAGAGGCTACGCACATCAGGCCCAAAGTCCGCGGTTGGCAGTTTCGCTGATCCCTCCTTTGCTGGTGCAGGTCCGCTGTCAGCCTCTCCCCGCACATCGCTGGAAGCGACGTCTGTGGATGAGGTAGCCTCCGAATGGCCAAGGAAGGGCCATTTGCATGGAGCCTCCGATGGAGCCTGAGCCGGGACGGCACTGGACAGGAGTGTGGCCGACGAGCCTTGGGAGTATGGAACTCCAAGCCAACTCTGCACTTGCCTGACACCTCTCAGCACCTCCACGCTTGAGACCTCCACGTCGGCACTCCTCTCAAGCAACTTGACTGCTTCGAGAATTGAATCCCAGGCCTGGTCCATGTCCATGCCAGCCTTGGAAATAAGATCTTCCGTGGTAACAACATCCTCACTCGCCTCAAGCTCCGCAAAGAAGGACTTCTTGCTTCTCAATGTTCTTTGCCCTATGCTCTTCGACTCTTTCTCTGTTGCATCCGCCTTTTCCTCCAAGTAGGTCATGTACAAGTCTTTGGCTTTGGACAGGCTAACGCGGTTACCTCTCCTGGTATGATACCATCTCTTGAAGAAATCGATGATGTCAATCCAAACAGGGTCGCTGAAATGCGCATTCTTCTTTGTCTCGCTGTACACATCCATGATGATGGCAATCAGCATGTTCAGAAGAATCAGGAGCATGCAAAGCATGAAGGAGATATGAAACACCCCAGCAATTGCTCTGCCCACCTTGTTCTCCAAGGCCTCGAAATCTGCATCTCCCATCAAGGATCGAAATTGCGTAGTGAAGGCAACTCCAAAACTTGCATAGCCTTCGACAGTGCGCCCAAAGAAGCCCATTCCCATGAAGACGTAGGTAAGGAACACGGAGAGGAAGATGATGCCAAAGTGCACCAAGTCCGCAAACGACATCCACAGGGTTCTCGTGACCACAGCAAGACGCGGCTGCAGCGAGAAGGTCTTGAAGAGCCGCAACAGAATGCAGAAGGGATAGAAACTGGCGACAAGGCTGGTGCCGGAGGAGATTTCGCCCATGCGGGTGGCATCCGCCATCAGCATATCCATCATAGCGTCGCAGTTGCCCTGGTCATTGGTGTCACAAACTTCAACTGCATCGCCCAACAGGCTTTTCAGGTCCGCGAGCATGGTGCATCGGTAAATCCACAAGCCTAGAATGATGTAAGCGATGACGATCGAGCACCAGTCTACAGCGTTCCAGATCGTGAGGTACTCCATGAAGCATTGGCGAGGACGGAAACGGCATTTTCCGTCAGTGCCTCTGACACAGAGACCCTGGAAGATCTCCACGAGCTCTTCGAGGAAGATGGAGGTGATGACCCCGAAGAACAGGATCTCCCAGACGAGACCCGCACCCGGGTGGTCGTAAGGAGACATGAAGAAGCTCATGAAGGACATCTCTTTCCAAATGCGCCCAGATCGGGATAAGATAAAGTGGATGTTGGTCACCGTGAGGATGTCGAACTCCGCGTTGTACGTGACGAAGGATAGCTTCCAGCGTCGTGTACTCCTCTGTCTGGTGTTTAGTAGGGAAGTGGGGGAATGGATCCCTATACTAGTCCCTGTATAATCCGCAGTAATGGCTTCCATCATCTATTCCCCCATTCCCTAGACAGTCCTTGTGATCCAGCCTTTCATCTCCAGGTCATCGACGGTCGGGTTCACGTCCTGCGCAAGCGGAAGCCACACAGTACCGTTCTCGGAGGGATCCTCTGTGAAGGGTGTGAAGGCAACATCAAACTCTCTCGGCTGGATCGCGAAGTCCGCGCCTTTCTCGAAACACGAGGGTCCAAGACGGCTTGCTTCCTTGTTCTGACAATCGCCAACCTCTGCCGCTTCCTTGGTCAGTTTCACCGGGCCCAACTTGCGATTGAAATCCAGGTAAGGCAGATGGAGCTTCTGCGAGCTGGTCATCGGTGCGCTAGTCAGATCGGAACCTTCAGAAACCGGCGTGGACTGGGGTAAGTAGATGGCAGCGAAGCCCAAGCGAAGCCACGAGTAGAAGTCTGTGATGCTGTTCACATCTTGATAGTTCTTGTGCCCCATGGTCCCAATGCCGTTGAAGGCAAAGTTTGCATTCTCTTCGATATCGAAACGAATGGCCTTCTCAACGCTTTGCGTCTCTCCCACGGTCTCGTGGTTCAAGAGCATTGCAGCGAAGCAGAAGATTAGCGTCAGTGTTCGCGGGAGGGTTTTCACAGCACGGTCACAATTCACCTCCTTCTCCCAGTAGCGGAAGAGCTCCTTTACCGGAACGCCACATTTCTCTGCAACTGCTTCCGGCCGAAGTGCTGCTATCTCTTCGCCAGGCTTCACGCAGACCCAGTAGTACACAGAGTGTCTGTGCTGACCACTAGTCATGGCAGGCGATGAGTCTATGCAGAGCCACAAAGCTGCCGCAGTAAAGAAGAGTTTATGTCACGGTGCGGCAAGCCACATCACTACGGCGCACTTTGTGCAACCAGAACAGCAGTAGCAGAAGCAACACCAGTGTAGCAGTAGCAGTGGAAGTGAGCTTCAGCAGCAGCGGAACTGACGGTAGCAGAACCCGCAGCAGTAGCAGGAGCAGCAGCAGCAGCCAGCCAGCCAGGAAGTACCAGTGGCAATCGTAGAATGCTAGCTGTGGTGGGGTCTGCAGAACGCCTGGGGCAGCTTCTGTGAAATGCATAGACGCAACACTTTCCACACAGCTGCTGTGCTAAAGTGCCGGGCCTTGGAGAAACGCTGACTCCTCGCGCACATCGAGGATCCTCGGACAAAGAGGAGCTTCCCTGTACTGCTTGCTGTCATCAACCCTCAGCTACCCCGCAACATCGGTGCAGGTCCTTGTACAGTGCGCGGCCCCTTAATCCCTTCCGAGCCTTTGCCAGAATTGGTCCTTTAGTCCAAGCGTCAGATCTCCTGGTGCAGCAGCAGCCATAGCTCAAGGATTCCGGGCTATGAGCCCCGAAGCGAAGGGCCATGGACCGTATTGTTTCTGAAAAGGGCTGTGATCCTGTATCGTTGAACACTTCGGAAAGGACAACCATTCAGGCTTATCGGAGAGTCTCCGACCGAGGAACCGGGTCCTGTGCCGGCTTTAACACATGCACATCTGGAGGCCCGTGGCTGCGTGATATTGCAACAAGGCTTCTGGTCGTTTTCCCACCTTCAGCCGGTTCCTGCGAGGTCTCTGAGCGAAGGCTATCGACGGAAGTAGCACCTCAAAACCGACGATCCAGGAGATCGCCTCCCCCTCAACCCCAACACTGCCCTGAAGCGCAAACCCTACGAACCCCTGATGTTGATTGAAACCACAGGGCCTAGGCGCTTGTCGTGCTGTCTCATCAGCTCCTGGGTCAAACGGTGGGACATAAAGCAAGAGGCTGCAATCACCAGTAGCACTTCAGTTGAGTCTCTTCATCCTGCCCTTCAGAATCCGCCCAGTCGAGATTCGCGACTTTTTGTGTTCTGACTTCCACTGTGCGTGCCAGTGTACCGCAAGCGGCCAGTCTTGCTGTCACCTAGCAGAGCGGCGACTTTTTTGCCCATGTACTGTTACAATATCAGATCTCACTTGGCCACATTCCAATTTAATTTACTCTGCTTTACTATGTTATTCTAAAGCAAACTATACTCCATACCTGACATTGTAAGCGTCTGTTTCGGCTGGCACCTCGCGTGCAAGGTGCCCTTCTTCAACAGACGTCTGCTGTCATGTCAGGTGCTTCGCATGACGAATGCTACTTTTCACTTGTTACGCTAAATGGAGCGATCCACTACTCTATTCTGTTCCACTCTACTCTGATGCAATATAACATGCTATGTGTAAACATGTACCTACATATGTTACATATATCATATATCTATGTGTGTTCCCCCCGTGGTGTCATCCCCGACTGGGTCCTGTAGAGCAGGTCGCCGGTTGGCGTGGCCGGGAGGCTGATGCCCAGTGTTCCTCGGCTGAAGTGACCTCGTGGGCCTTGTAGAGATTTGGAATCAGCAAGTGCTGCTAGATCAAAGGCTCGAGCACAAAAGACTTAGAATTCAGATTGTCGCAGGGCTGCAAGCTTGCAAATTCTGCCAGTTTTTTTGATAGCTAGCAGAGGCACTTGCGCCTGCAGCCATACGTGACAAACGAAACTTGTCCAAACTCTCGTTGAACGACCATTCCATGGAGGCTGAGGGCTTCGGGCGATGATGCGACTCCATGGAGACCCCTCTCAGGCAGCCACTCCCTAGCGAAGGGATCCACAAGTGGCGCGAACTCGTCCGGGAGAGTCCTCGGGTCCCAACTCCAAGGAGGGGCCCCAAACCGAACTGGACCCTAGGTTGTCACGATGGCATTGGCATGAATATCAATCTGAGTATGAGGACGAAGTAGATGCTGCTGATGCAGGTGACAGGACACTCTACAAGTATAAGACTAGAATATCCTGATGATGACGACGATGATGATGATGGTAATGGAAACGATAATGCAAATGGGGATGGAAATGATGATCCAGATTTTGCAACCGTGATGCGATGATGACCATGATGGCACAGGTGAGGATGATGGTAACGGTGGCGATGGCGATGATGATGATGATGATGATGATGACGATGACATTGATGAGGCATAATCCTCTGATAGAGATGCAGACCGTGATGTCGATATTGATGACGATGATGAGGTGGGGAGGAAAAGGAGGAGGAGTCGGCACAAAGATGCAGATGCAGCTGCAGGTGTGGCTCTGAAGCCGACTATTTCGTGCTATCACCATCATCAGCAATGCCAACAAAACCTGCACACAGCTGCTGCCATCTTCACGATGGGAAAGAACATCTGACTCCACCACAACTTATCCAGCATCATCATCATCAGGATTCTGGCTATTCTGGCGGTTGGCCCGTCAGCATCTGCATCATCGTCATCATGATATGATCCATCTTGCGCGTCTCCTCAGACTCATTGTTCCGAGGTGTCCTATGGGTTTCTTCCTTTCTGCTCTTACGTGTCCTGCCGGCGACACAAACAACTCCTCCGAGACCAGTGCCCCCCTCCCAATCCACCATAGAGCGGGGAGAGCCGCCGGGCAAAGGCCTTCCAGGAGTGCAGGTGAGCAACACGGGAATCATTCTGAATCTTTCCGTGCAAAGGAATACCGGCAAACCTGTGAACTAATCTGGGTGAACGAACTTGTTGAAACATCTGTTACCAAAGAGAAGCATGATGGAGCAAGCGTATGAATGGCAGCGTGTTCCGACGAAGCATGCCTCAAGTACTTGAGTTCCTCCATGTACGAAACATTAACAACTCTGAAACCGTTGTTTACTCTCATTTGTGCTTGTCAACAACCTGTCGAAAAAGAAGCCTGCGGTGAACGTGAGACAATTTTGGGCAATTCTGCTGTCATCAATTGTGCAGATGCATGCTGCGACTGTGTTGCCGGATTATGGCGACTCTGCTGTCTGTTGTATTGGCCCCTCCCCTCGATGAGGAGGCAACCCCGCTTCCTGAGTGATCAGGGAATAAGGTGGGGGAGGGTGCGGCCCCCACCCCCGCCCGCTGACGCTTAGTTCGACCCTATCAGGAGACGAGGTCTCCCTGAGGATACATGACTACAGAAACATTTATGTTTATGTGTGTGAGTGTGCGTCTGCTTCCGTCAGAACATCCCAACTCCGACTCTCTGCCGAGTCGACATTACAACAATCCTTTAGTGGCCTTCTCTTGGGGCACACAGCTTCATTGACATCAAGCCGGCCTGCGTATCGCGACTTCCCGAAAAGGTTGCATTCCAGCCTGTGCTTCAGAGGAGGCAGCGGACACTAGCAAATTTAGTGCCTGGTGTTTGGCCTCAGGTCACTTGCGGTAGAGAGCCTTGCTTCAGGAGCCAGACATGTTCTAGTGGTACACCTGGACTCGGTTCGTTTTTGTTGCTGTGCCTGCGGACAATCCTGTGCTGTTCTCTGTACTACTGCTGCTGGTGGGTACCGTCGTTGTTGCCGCCATTACCAGTTTCACGTCAATGTTGCAATGCCGGATGCGTTCTAGCACTTCTTGCTCCTCCTACTAGTCTCGTGACCATTATGGTGATGGGATAAAGAAAACAAGTTCAAGCTGTCAACAGGAGTGGCGGCAGAAGTAGCCAGAATAGAAACAATTGCAGCCGCTGGAGTAGCAATGGTTGTTGCAGTCGTCGTCGCAGTGGTAGCAGGTGTAGTAGTAGTAGTAGTAGTAGTAGTAGTAGTAGTAGTAGTACTAGTAGCAGCAGCACAAGCTGCAGAAGCAGGAGTAGTAGTAGTAGTAGTAGTAGCAGAAGTAGCAGTAGTAGCAGTAGTAGCAGTAGTAGCAGTAGTAGCAGTAGTAGCAGTAGTAGCAGTAGTAGCAGTAGTAGGAGTAGTAGCAGTAGTAGTAGTAGTAGTAGCAGTAGTAGTAGTAGTAGTAGTAGGTAGTAGTAGTAGTGGTAGTGTAGTGGTAGTGGTAGTGGTAGGGTAGTGGTAGTGGTAGTGGTGTGTAGTGTGGTAGTGGTAGTGGTAGTGGTAGTGGTAGTGGTAGTGGTGGGCTGGTGGTGGTGGCAAGTGGCAGTGGCAGTGGCAGTGGCAGTGGCAGTGGCAGCAGTGGCAGTGGTGGCAGTGTGGCAGTGGCAGTGGCAGTGGCAGTGGCAGTGGCAGTGGCAGTGGCAGTGGCTGGCTGGCAGTGGCTGTGGCTGTGGCTGTGGCTGTGGCTGTGGCTGTGGCTGTGGCTGTGGCAGTGGCAGTGGCAGTGGCAGTGACAGTGGTGGTGGTAGTCGGCGTCGTCGTCGTAGCGGCAAAAGAGCAGTAGAGCAATAGAAGTAGCAGTAGTAGTAGTAGTAGTAGGAGGAGTAGCAGCAGAGTGGTCGTACTGGTAGTGCACGTGATAGTGGTAGTGGTAGTAGCAGTAGCAGTAGCAGTAGAAGTAGCAGTGGAAGTAGCAGTGGAAGTAGCAGTAGAAGTAGCAGCAGAGTAGCAGCGGTTGTCATTGTCGTCGTCGTTTCCTTTCGTTCTGTGCTACTGATACTGTTCAAAAGACTGAGCATCATGGTCCTCACACTGCCTTACGGTTGTGGTCGTTATAACAGCAACAGCAGAGCCATACCGCAGCAAAAGTCGCACTGCTACTGACCATTACCGGAGGAGTGATAGCATATCAACAACAGCAGAAATAACGGCGGCAGTACTACATTGCAGCAGACGACTACGACGACAGCCGACAACAATAAGAATAGGGATTGATGTTAGCCGATAGGAGAGTCTCCGGGTACACGTAAGTCTCAGGTCTCCACTCATTGTGTCAAAGGCTCGGCGCTTGAGGTTTACAGGTTCATGCCACAGGAAGCTTTAGGCCCGTTGCAATTGAAGTTCTTGTGGTTCCCAGAGCACACTTCATTGCAGGCAGACCACACACCCCGACAACTCAAACTTACGGAACGACATACGTACATACACATCTCATCACACACGGCTATATTGCAGGCATTCGTGTTCATACCAACAGTAGTTAACATGGATTCGTATATCCATAGATATACACGTAGTACATCTCAAAAGGTTTGTATATACAGGCTATACTCTATATATATATATATATATATATAAGTATATATATATATATATGATATTTATGCATTTATTCACATAATCTAGAGATATCGGATATCTCCTCTCTTTCCCTCATCCAGACTGGGAAGCCCGGCTGGAGAGCTCTGGGCAGCACTGCGGCAGGAGACCCTCGGAACCCTCTCGCCGTGGTTCCTTCACATGGCATCAGGCAAGACTGCTTCGGCTTTCGGTGCTGGCTGCTAGGTATGCGCTTCCTGAGCAGACTGAGCTTTGGGTGAAAAGATACACGCAAAAAGGGTTGAAGACACTGTCGCAGCACCTACCTTACAAACTAGCCGGCTGATGGACTGTGCTCATGCGCCATTGTTGAAAGAACTCTCCGCGGCTGGAGCACCTGTTGTTACAACTTTCTGTTGCTATGCTAACACAAAGTGGGAGATATGAGGTCACTCTGTTCTGGGTCCATCAGTGGCAGCCTTGTCTGCTTTCTGACCCTTGTCAATGTACTCCTGCACGAAGCAAGTCACACCCATTCCTCAAAGCTGACAGGCCTCGTCAACCTCCGCAGATATCGCGGAAGAGGGTCGAATTTCCGCATAGAAGCCGAAGCCGTACTTCAGCCTTCCAAGCAAGGAGCTTCCCTCTCTGCTCTGTTGCCGAAGGGCTTGTAGAGACGCTTCATTTTCTCGGGGGTTGATGAATTCACACAACTGGAGGTCGATGGTCTGGATCTTGAAGCATAGCTTGCCTACGCTTTTTCCTCAGAGCGGGGTCCAAAGGTAGACCCCTACCTAGGCAGTCTGACTTTCACGTCATGCTTCACCTTACAGTTCTCGGGCTGCGGGCTTTTTCCATGGTCGGCGTCGGACCTGCTGCGTTGCATCTCAGGGCCTCTCGGCCTTGGTGACAGCCTGTGGCTACATCTGACGCACTCGAAGAACTTCCTTTTCGGCAGATCTCCATGCTGTGTGCAAGAGCACACCCTCAAAAGCTAGCAGTATGTGATGAGCTCTTCCCTCCGCCCCCTTTCCTAAGGAAGTGTTGCGCAAGCTACGTACATTATGTGGACCATGGAGGGCTGCAGGGCAAGGGCCGGAGAGGAAACTCCGCGCTGGAAGCTCCCGGTACCACAGTCGAAGGACAGCGCTGAGCCCATCCAGGCCCACACGGGATCCAGAAGGGATGGTGCCCTACCTCCACGCCCCAACTCACTCGGCGTGCGCTGCAGAACCATCCAGTTTGCTATCTCCTGCCCACTGTGGTTCAATTCAAGTCCCGTAATGGCGCATTGACTATGGCTGCAAAGAAGTCTAGTCTAATGTCACCTACCAACATCGCGCTACCGATGACGCCTTTCTCACGAAGCAAGCCTCTCTGCTCGACATGCACTGGAAGATTTCGTGTCCTTGTCGCCAACGAGAAATAGACTGCTTGGCCAGATTGCAGTCGCTTGCATCAAGGATCGCCAGCGCTGCTGAGAAGGAAAACCGCATCGTCCAACAAATACACGGTGGCTGTCCTTGGAGACACAGACGTGCTTCCATTGTTCCAAATCCACTTCGAGGAGACACAAACTCAACAGCTAGATTAGATGGCGACGGCCTTGGCTAGCCCCCGCACTTTTCTGCTTGCTTCGCAGGTCTCGCAGCTCTTATCTTTGGTTATAGCATGTGAAATTCATCGTTTGAGCGTGCCTTCTTCTTCCTCTTGTGTTGTTACTCTCTACTTGGTACTGACCTCATCAACACTCCTGCATGCTTGCTCCCAGTCACATCGAGCCTTGGCCGAACCTTACAGCATTCACTCAATTGCAAAGACGAAGCGTCTTCATTCGGAAAAGGAAGGCAGCCTTCTTGCACTGAACACAACACAAGTACTCGACATCCCTAGCAGTAAGGTCGTCAGGAGTTGACGAGCCCTAAGCTGACAAGCGTCCCTCACCCTGAAAACTCCACATCCTACCTAGCCCTGCACTCAACTCAGCTGTTGAAACGCAACATTAATCTTGAGCATCATTGAATCGAAGCTGCGCAGCTTCTGGGAAAATAACCGAATCTACCTGATACCTTTGTAGATTATAGACACAGGACCCCGAAAGCCAAAACATGATGAGCACAGAGGCAGATCCCCCTCGCAGAGATACGGCACGCGTGCGAAGGCCTGGGCTTCGGCTCGGGCGACTTTTGTGAAAGCTAGTAGTCATAATAAAATTAGTGGTGATAATAGTAATAATAGTAGTAGTAGTAGTAGTAGTAGTAGTAGTAGTAGTAGTAATAGTAGTATTAGTAGCAATGGGCACATGTCCGGCTCGTGGCTCGAAAGCTGCTGACGATCTGCAGACAGGGATCCACGGAGAGTTCTCGGGGCCTTGTCTCCTAGTCGTTGAGATTCGACGCACATGGGGAGAAAGATGTAAAGATAGAGGGCCTGAAGTCCAGTATGATAGTGTGATGTATACCTGAGCGACCAACCTACGGGATAGGCGTAGTCTCCCCTCTGGTCACTCCAGTCCCCAGTACGTCTGTGGAATGGCTGCCCACACAGATCGTGATCACTTATCGTTTTCGTTGTGCCGTGCTGGAACGTTCACCAGACAGCTTGTCGGCCCTTGGCATTCTGGGCTAAGCGACTCCAAGGCAAAGTGCACATTTAGAAGCCAAGCTGCCTCGAGGCGGAAGCCCAGGGGCTCGAGTACCTGGAGGTGGTTTTGGAGTCTTGCAATGTGCGCCCATGACTTCAGCTCAGGCTCACTTGCAGCAGATTCTTTCTCGATGCCGGGAGGGGGTATCAAGATCGAAAAAGAAACATAGGCCAGAGTGCAATGCTTCAAGTCGAACTTGTAGTGTGGCGTTACGACTAACTCGACATCTAAACATAGCTCGATGTCAGTAAGCGACGCTGGCAGCACGATAGCTTGGATTCAACTCAAGTTGAAACCATCAGCCATGTTCGGTTCGCTGCTCTGCGTGGCTTCAGCTTGGCAGGTGAAGGCCCTGCGGCCTCGTACGTTTTAAAGATCTCGGGGGCCGTGGAAAGAATCCGAAACGAAAAACCCGACGTTACTGGGAGGTGAGGTATGACGACCCCAAACATGCAGTAGGAGATGTTGCATGGCAAACCCGAAGCCGTACTCCTAGCTGATGCATGGCAACCCAAATTCCGGCCATAAGATGCAAACCCAAACCGCTGTAAAGTGACAAATTCCACAGATGGCGTAAAATGATGCCTGGCAGACCACAAAGGCCAGCAGCAGATGATGCATAGCAAGCCCAAAACCCTGGAACATGCTTGGAACTTCAGGAAGGGACGAAGTTCCTATTAAAAGGAAACATCGCGACCCCTTCAAACCCGAAAGCCGAAACCTACAGTAGTAATAGTGGTAATAATAGTAGTAATAGTAGTAATACTGGTAATAATAGTACTAATATCCGGCCTTGCTCCGAAGCTCCTCCGCGGCGGCCTCGAAAGTCGCATCTCCTCGGGAAGTGGAAGGGACTCACGGTTTAGGGTTTAGGGCTTAGGGTTGTAGGGTTGTAGGGCTTTGGGGTTTAGGGCTTCAAGCATGCACTTTCCATGCTGAGGGCATGCTTTTTCTGCCTAGCCTGCGATAGAGTCGGTGCCCGTAGTTTAAGGTAGGGCGCCGGGAAGATCCTATTGAAATCCGTTTGCCTTTGTCTCGGCTTTCGGGCCGAAGCTGGTCTGACCCGGTTCAAGGCTCGGGCTTCAGAGGTCCGCCTTCGGTGTCGGATTACCGGTTGCTGTGTTGTTTGGTACGTCTAGGTCTGCTTCGCGCATGCAGGAACAACATCGAGCACAACATTGAAAGGGAAAGCACATGCCCGCAATGTGCTACTACCACACCGGATAGACGCCACGAACAAGCACAACGTACTCCGACGACGACAACGACGATGACGATGAAAATGAAAATGACGACGGGCGATGACGGCAGTGTCGGAGGTGCTGCCGGCGGCGGTGCTGGCGGTGGATTTCTTCTGGGCAGAGCGAGGCCGAAGGCCCTCGGCCTCGCATCTCTCTGCACCTTTTTGGGGCTAAGACGGCTAGGACGCCTAAGTAGTACACAGTATATTACATTTTAGGATATTGTAGTAGATTATAGTACAGTATACTGTCGACCGAACCGACCGAACCCTGCACTCCCTGCACGCCTGCTCCCTAGAATCTTGGAACCGAAACTTTCGGAACGCCTGCCAAGGCTCTCGAAAGTGGCAACTTCTCTTCTGGCTGCAACCGGAAGATGCCGTGCCTCATGGAGAAGTACTTCTGCGAGTTTTGGCGGTAGCGTAAGCACCGGAGTGGTAATGGTGGTACTCCTCCTCCTCCTCCTCCTCCTCCTGCTGCTGCTGCTGCTGGGCCTCAGCCGAGGCTAGCCCGGGCTTTTTGCAGCCTGGCACCATCGGATTGAAAGACGAGGACACGACTTCTTCAGCTTTTGAGGCTTCAGGTTTAAAGTGCTTGGCTGCTTGCTGCCCCTAAGCTCAGGAGGGACAGCCAATATGCGCAGGCCGGATGCAGGCCGAATGTATGTCTTCTGTTCCAAACCCTCCTGAAAAGCCCGCCATGCCGTTCCTGGAACACACAAGAGGCTCCGCGCCCTGAGACCCACAATCCACGGGGCTGTGCCTAAACCCATGTTGAGAGGAGATGCCACTTTGGCACTATCACAATCACTATCCCCATTTCCGTTACGACTACTGAGCTGCAGCTCTTTATGCGGACAAAGGAGCTCTACGAAGGGGCGGAAGGGAAGGACCACGGCGATGAGGAGCCTGAATGGACTTCGGATGCAGGGCTCTTGGTGTGGACGGTTCTATGGCAGAGTTTGAGGTAAAGGGTCAGCGCCATTGCCCAGGCTCTTGCGACTTGGAACTCCACGGCTTCGGCTTGGCTACGTCTTGTCCGAGAGCAATACACTACCCAAGATCTCATCAGTACATCGCAGTATGGAGATGTATGGAGGCTCTCCTCAGCAATCCCGATGTTCTAGAAATCCAGCGCCCATAGGGACCTTTCCTGCATGTTGCGAGCCAGCGTCAGCACTTAACCGATAGACATTATCACCAATATCGGCGCCATCATCATCATCATCATCATCATCACCCCAACACTGCCATCAACAGTCACTATAGTATCCGCAAGCCAACGAAGGGCTTGCCACACCCCAAGACACCGTGAGCGTCAAACGAACCAATTGTCCAGCCTTCCACGAGGTGTGATTCTGCGCCGCAGCTCCTGCAAAGTACTGTACCGGGCTGCGTCAACAGCTGCTGCTATATTACCCTTCGTAAGTTTCACGGGTCCTGGAAAGTAGCAATAAGTAGCATATGATGCTATCTGCGGCGTGTCTCTGTTGGTTATGTGAGCGCGAGACTTCTACCTACGTGCTTCTGCTGACACTACCACCACCGCCGCTCCTCTGCATCCCCCTCCTCATAGTCATCATCATCATCATCATGATCATGATGATGACCATCATCATCATCCCTCCGCTGCCCTACTACCATGGTGAGGAACCTCAGTGGAGAACAGTTCTACTACAGGCGTAGACTGTGAGGGCACAAAGGGGGGCGTGTGGAAAACCCCTGCCTAAATCCCCCTACTCTCACGCACTCTCTGGGGCAACAGTCAATACTTTGCCACTGCCACAAGTTATGACCCGTGATCATGATAATAAGAACAAGAAGAAGAACACTACTAATAGTAGCAGTAGTAGTCGCAACAGTATAAGTCATGATATTCGTTTTCTGACAGGAGCTGAAGGATCCTCCAAGACGCGGCCTGCAGCAAGGACCGCGGTCGGAGGCAGCGATCCAAGACATTCCTTTAAACAGGCTTGACAGGCTTGGCTAGGCGAGGGTTTGGGATGCAGGGTTGGAACATGTAATGTCCCTTTTTCGAGATGCCGTTTGACGGCGAAACCAGAAATCAAACTGCTCCAAATCCCAGGCACATGAGGGCAATGCAGTCAAAAGTGCCACCCGGTTCGAGTGGGATCTTCGCTTCCGCGGCCAAGGCCTGGGTCTCAACGGGCTCCCCGCAACAGGACGAAGCCAAGGGCTCCAAGCCTCGCCTCCAAACCCGACAGGTCGCTTCCCTCGAGAACCGGGAGGCCACGGCGGCGCAGGCGGGCCACCATGGGACGACCTGGGAGCTCAGACCCTTTCGAGGCATTGCGGCCTAAAGGCCTCCAACTCTAAGCCCTGACCCAGGAGGATGCGAGCAAGCCGCTCACTTCGGTCGTCAACACGTGATCAAAAAGCTGCGCGAGCTCCATCGTACAAGACCCGGTCCTTGGTTCGGCTTGGTGTTCTGGGACTGAACCTCACTTGTCATAAGAGGCCACTCCACTTTGACTTAAGTCTTGAAAATGCACCGGAAAGATGGAGCTTCAGATACCCCTTAGAGTGTTGAAACACAGGAAAGTGGCAAAACATCTGCGATGTAGCTGGGTGCTCATGACCACAGCAATGATACGCTACGTCACTACGGAAGAGGCCAGACGGACCCTACTACGCGAGAGCAAGGCAAATTTCACCAACGTTGCATCCACTGCTCCTACGACCCTAAAGTTGCCTGCCCTGAACCGTAGACACTACACACCCTAAACTCAAACCGTGCACACGCTCAACACCCGTTCCGTTAGGCCAAGTCTCCCGGCTCCTACATCGAGCAGCACGCCACCAGGACGCTCTGGGAAGAGCCGGAGCGCCTGAGCAGCGCTGAGCACCTGGGTGGTTTAAGAGTCTGCGACTAGAACTGGTACTGGACGTCGTACTTGTGCACCACATGCAAACAAAAACTTGTCGATTGCTATCTGCTCTTTGTCGTTTTACAAGCAACACCATAGGAACGCATCTTTTCGGGAAGAAGATGACGTTCATGGCCGTCTCCTAGAATCCGCGAATGATGCACGAAGGCTTGCGGGCGTTCCCGAATTCGGAGTTGGTCTGCTGCCTTGCAAGGCTTGCAAGACGAGCCAACTTGCCGTGCCTTGCCAAGATGATCGGTGCCTTGTAAACACTTGGTCTCTTATGTGGCCTGCAGCAGGCAGTGTCTTCGTGATTGCAAAGGAGAAGCTATCAGCATATGCCTGAACTTCTCCATTCGAGAATCGCGGGCTGCTGCATTAAAGCTACGAGAAAGGAATGCAAGATGAGGTTCGCACACGAGAGAATCCTGTGGCCTTGAGGACTGCGCGGTATGCCCGAATCCTGCACCGCGGCACAAACATCTCCCCGCGGCCGAGCAGTGCGTTGACATCCGTCTTGGAGAGGCACCAGCACAGCACCCGTGCGAGAGCACCCTGCTGGACTCGCAGCATCGACTCGGGCTCGTTGGCTCAGGGTGTTGAGCTGTTGGGGATTGGGGTTCAGGCTTGCGGCTTCGAAGGGTTTGAGGCTCCGGGCCGAACCCGATTACGAGGACAGAGGACAGGGCCCGAAGCCCGAGGAGGAGGCCCCGGTCCACCAGAACGACGGAGTTTTGGCGGAGCTGCGCTTCGCTTCCTCGCTTCGAAAGTCTCTCAGTCCTTGGATTCGTTTTCAAAGCCCAATAGCCCGACCCCGAGAGAGTCCCCAGAAGCTACGACCCTTAAACGGCATCTTCTCAAGGCGCAAGCCGGGTAATACTGTAGACCCTACGCCCTACACGCACAACCCTGACCCTGTCGTGCAGGGGCCTATAGTGGTCAGAAGAGAGTTTTTTGGGGATTTCTTGGTGTCTATCATACCACAGTCTTATCGGAGCGATTGAGACCCCTACTGTACAGTATCCACAAGGCCGTCGATCCCTCCTCTGTCCCTCCTTCAGCAACGTAGTGGCGACGGACCTCTCCAGGCAGAAGGCCAAGAAATCCTCCGTTGCAGCATCGGCCTCCTGGTGGTTTGCAGCTCCGAAGCTTCCGAGGAGGTAGGCCGGTAGGCCCAGGGTTTAAGGCGAAGGGTGGTTTGGATCCCAAGATTCTCCAACCTACAAAGCCACCACAACTAAGAAGCGCTCCAGCTGCACCCAGTGCTCTGCGAGTGCAGGTGCCAGCAAGCCAGCACTGTAGGGCAGCGTGTGCCTTCCAGGCCCAAAGCTTTAGACTAGAAACCCGTTGCTCTCCATCCCAACTAGACGGTGGACTCGACTACACGCAAAGACAGTCACACGGGCAATGCAGCCAGTACGATAGAGACGCTGCGACACAATACGATATTGCATCCTGCTTAACAACTAAAGTGCCAGGAGACTGCAGGTACTACTAAATGGACACATGGCATTAGATCGTCTCGTTTTGCAAAGTGCTGTCTGTCCGACAAGATGTACTTGGTGGCAGTATAGCAGCATGCAGTCGAACAAAATACGGATATGATATAGCAAAGCAACTGACCGCACATCGTGGCGGAATTTAGATTGATCTAATAATATCCGCCGACCCTGGCGGCGTGTTGGATGGGTTTCGATGGGCTTGGAGGTGTTAACCTCCCTTTTTCCCTCCTCCCACACCGAAATCCCGCACACCGGGCGCCCCTAGGGGGGGACCCCATGGCTGTTTGCAAGCAGCATTCAAGTCAAACTACAGCCCATTGTTTTTTCCCCTTTTTCCTGCCTCTCCCCCTCCCCTCCCCGCCTCCCCCCCCCCTCCCCCCTGTGCCGATACACCCCCAAGGGATACTCCTTGTGAGGAGGTGTATGACCAGTTATTCCCTAAGGATCAAAGGGCAGCGCCCTGCACACGGACAGTAGTTGTTTTGTCTTGCTACGCAAGGAGAGCTTGTCTTGTCTCAATATGGTAAAACCACTGTGAGCCAATGGGCAGCGGAATGTATATGTATGAGCATGCAGCCATTGCTGTAGGTACCTGTTAGAGCTACCCCTTTAGAGGTTTATGGTTTCAAACAGACACTAATTTTCTTTTACCGGAAGCATGGCCGCACATTCACACATATACTATTATGCCCACTGTCACAGTTGCGGAGTTTGGACTCATGATAAAAACAGCATATTGTTTATGCTATGTATAGCACTGAAGTACACTGTTGAGGTCACTCCTTTTGAACAGACTCATGCATGTTGGTCAGAGAGATCATCTGTACAGGATCAGGTCTGGTAATGTTCTTCTACCGAATTATGCAGCCCTTTATTGTGCTCTTGTTAGAGACTTGTGATTCACTGTTGTGAAACTCTGAGAATTTTTTTATCTCAGATTCGGATCCAGGGTTGGATCATAGGCTCGAGCATAGACGTTCGGATGTGGCTCATCCGGGTCTGAGTGGTCTTCTTCGGAACTTGAAAAGATTCCGAGTAATCTATTCTCAGCCCTGGTGAAGGCGGCGTCTGCAGTATCATATCCATGGTTGGATGTTGTCGCCTTTGGCTCGGCCTTTGGAGCAGCTTGTGAGCTGGCTGGAGTTGCCTTGGCTTTTGCCGGTTGCGGCTGCTTAGCCTTTGCCCGTTCAGCCCTTCTTCTTTCAAGCTGTCCGTCTGAGGACGCCCATGATCTTTCACTTTCATCTCCTGAAGGAGATAAGGCGTGGGCATAAAGGCTATTCCAGTATTGTGCTGCAGAAGGAGTTAGGACTTCTTCATTGTCAGATTCTGACTGGTCTTCCTCAGAGCTTTGGTCGTCAAAAAGTGTCTCGAGGACATTTTTGAGATTGTTATTTCTTCGCTCTATCTCTAGTGAGGAATGGACCAATTGGTTAAAGACTGTCCTTGAGTCCTTCAGTGCTGTTAGAAGGATTTCCACTCTGGATAGAGTATCTTGGATGGTGTCAAGATGTTCCTTCCTTTCCTCCTTGTCTCTCTGGATAGAGCTTCGCAATGATTGTGCGATTCTGAGGAGGTCTGTGTATTTCGCAAGAGGCATAGTTACCGTTTGATTGTCATGTATGACAGTTGTTTCGTCGCCGCTTAAGTTCCTGAATAGGACTTCCACGATTGGTAGGAACTCCGTGCTCCACGGTTCCTCTTCATCATATGTTTCTACGTGCTGTAGCACGCGTTGTGTAAACTGGCCGGCTGCTTCTACCGTTGCATCGATAGAGCTGACGTGTCTTGCTGCCATGTTTCGGCACGTAACGTTAATTGCCTGGCCTTGATTGGCTTCGTTAAGTGCAGCGTCTGCATAGGTGCAGAGTCCACTGTTGTGGGCTTCTCTAGCTGCCTTTCGTTGAATGCGCCGATTTTGACCTCCTCTTCTGGTAGGACCTTTTGGTCTTGGAGGATCAGAAGGTACTGTTCCTTTCGCCTTTGGCGGAGGACTCTTAGGTGGAGGTGATATGTTTGCCTTGTTAGGCCCTGGTGGCATTGCCTTGGGCGCTGATGACGATGCGGCACTTGAGAGTGCAGATGTACCTCTGGCCTTTGCCGAGGATCCCTTGGGGATCGATGTATAGGTAATCTGCATGGCTTCTTCGGCCATTTGTGCATGCAAGGCATCTTTGAATAATTGTGTCATATGAGGAGTGTTACTTGCATCATCGTAGGTCTGGAAGCGCTCAATGTCTCTTTCGGTGCCACGTGGTCGTGTATCACCTCTTTGGAAAGGATCGTTCCTGCGAATCTCCGCAACTTGTACTGCATGGAGGCAGTTTTTGCACAGCACCTTCTTGCAAACATCTCTTGCTTGCTTGAGCTGGTAACAGCTGTCTGAGAGATGGTAGACTTCGCTTCGGGAAGTATGCCAGATAGGTCGCAGATCAGTTGTTTCTCCGGAATTGACCCTGTTGGGTCCTAAAGGTTCACGCGTCTGCGGTTCATCCTCGGGTTCGAGGAATGGAACTCTTTGGTTCGCTGCTGCTTTTGATTTTGGTTGTTGGCGCTCCATACATCTGATAGGAGGCCTGGTAATCTGCTTCCACATCCAGTGTAAGCCCATTAGCAGCAAGAACACATTCCATGCGATGCTGAAGACGGAGAAGTCCTGCTCACTGGTTAGTGAGTTTGGAAGTGAAGTTTCATCAGTCTTGATAGACTCTGCGTTTGCTCCACCTCGGTTGCGGTGTCCGAACCAGCCCGACAATCCCGCTGCTGTAGCAGCTGTTCTGAGTGCCTTGCCGCTCGGAGCAGACGGTGGACGCGATGCCTTCCTTCTTCTTCTCCGGCTGGAGGATTCGTCCTCTTGTTCCTCTTCGTCTCTCTGAGCAGACATCAAGTTTGATGTTTCTCTTTCGTGTTCTTCGATGTCACTTTTTGTTGGTGACGGTTCTTCTTCTAGTCCATCCAGCTCTTCCAAAGACATGTTGAGCTTGTCAACAATATTGGTTCTTTGAGGCCTGGACCTTGATCTTGGTAGATCTTGTTGTGAAGAGGACGATGATTCCTGTTTCCTTCTTGGAGGAGGACCTTCAGGCTCGCTGGGACGTTCAGGCTGTGGCCACTCCCAGAATCTTCCATATCTGTGATGGCTACCTGATGGTTGCGATTTGTCGTACCAGCTGTTGCCGGATGAGTAAACGAATGAATCGTTGTAACCCCAGTATTCAGCATTACGCTGCTTGTAAGCCTTTCGCTTGTCAGCGATCTTTTGGACCTGGGCATCTGACCGGTTATGTTTCCCTTTTGTAAGGATTGGTTGTATCGTGAAGCCCAAAGGGCTGTGCCAATCTTTGTCAGAGGGACTCAACCATAGGTCAAGGTTAGAAAAAGTTGAATAGTACTGCTTGACTGAGACAAACAGACGGATATCAATATCCCTGTTATTGTTCATGTCCTGCCACATATCTGAGATTCGCTCCCAGTATGTTCTTTCGGCGGCAGGTGTGACCTCTCTTGGACTAGGTGACGCCGTGTGCGGCGTTTTACTCCAGTCAAGGATATAACTGTTGATACAGTCAAGGTCAGCAACTTTCTTCGCCGGGTCCGCCGGTAGACGATCTGCACGTGCCAGTCTGTGCTGGTCGGAGTTGTTCAAGCAAAGATGTCGCACTTGTGAGTGCCTTCCTGCTATTTTGTTGAATGCTGCAAGTTTCTTCTCCAGGTATAGAGAAAACAAACTGTTTCGCGGGTGAACGTCTCCACCTTTTAAGGTGAGCCCCGACGCAATATTATTGAGATCTCCCGCTATTACATCCGGTTTAAAAGGGAGAATCTCGTTGAGGAACGCGTTCACCAGTTCGCGTCTCTGTTCTTCCTTATGAGTCATGAATGAGTTGAAATGGACGATCGCGATGGTGATGACCTTGTAAGGCCCTTTTGTACACCACATCTCGTCAAGATCGTTCGATGCTTCTTGTGAGAAGATCTCTGCGTATGACTCAAAGTCTTCCTCTGGTGGCTCATCACCCTCGACATGGCCGTTCCATTCACAGAGAATCGGCGAGGGGTCGAGGTTCGACAGTGTCAGGCACGCCTCTGGTGAGAGGTAAGAGCCATCAGTGGGTCCATCCTTGTCAGGATTTTTGCCCTTGAGTGGGTCATATCCGATAATCTGCATGAACTCGTCTCTCGTCATCCTTTGGCCAGAATATGGGTGGACCCATTCTTTTGCCTCTGGTATGGTACTGTGGTACCCAAAGGTGAGGCGGCATACCGCACCGTGGCATGCCCACAGTCGCTTCTTGGGACCACCATTCTTAGGTTTCATTGTTCGATGACGATAAAAGTGGTGGACGAGAGCGATGTCTGTTGTTGGGTCACCCTTGACTCCAATATACATCGAGGGTGCCTCAGGCTCCTTGGGAGGAGAGTGGATTAGCATCCCCCTGTATTCATGTTGTCGCATGGTTGCGATCGAATACTCTGACGCAAGTGCTCCTGCCTCGAGTACGAGGGTAATATGAGCTGAATTGTTGAAGCACATGTCAATAAGAGGGTGATAATCGAATCCCTTCTCAGGTTTGAGCTTCTTTTTGGGATTCCCTGCGGGCACCGGCTCTCGATCCATATTTCCCCAGTTGAATACCACTAGGTTTAGCGATACGCTGTCTGGGTTTGAGCCTTCAATGTATTCTCTCTTCTCGTTAACACCGGCCATCCTATTGCGAAACCAAACCACAAACAAGCTTGCGAAACCACACCCCACAACACTCCAAGCACACGTTGCAGGAGAGCCACACCAACCAGTAAGGGGAATGAAGT